ATGTAGGCCGCGACTCCATGGTATTTGAGTACCTATAGAGAAAGATGCACCACTTTGTCCGGTAGAGCCACTCCGCGCATATCACGGACCATGTTTGCTGAGCTAGTACTCGTTATATGTTACTGTGTAAACATTATAAGCTGTTCGAACACCCGAGTACTTCAAATAACGAAAGACACCTTTAAGACAAATATCCGATATCACGACGTTAATACCCTTTCCTATATTAATGGTTACGATTATTAATGCTAAATTGCTCTTAACCGAAATCTGAAAACTACACAATTTATTATTACTTCGCTAAATATTAATATCATATGTATATATTAATGTGATAAACACTTCAGAGTTGGTACTATTCAGATAAAATTTTATGTTTTCGATCCTGGATCTATTATTGGAACCAGACTGCTGATAGATTTACTTTTGTAGAACACTGCTTCAGTTAGACAGGCGTGCCTGTAACCTTCAAAGAACATTTACGATTAGGCTTTGTGGTAAAGGAGTCCCTGTATATCTTGCACGGAAACAATCGATGTAAAACGTACTTCTAACCCATCATGATAAATGAAAATAGAGGCGATATCACAAACTAGATACGAACAACCGAAATGACGTCATGACTAATCAATACATATTACTTACGCTTTTTGCTACTGCTTACAGTCTGTTTTATTTTCTCTCTATAAATCGGCATCGTTATCATCTCATCACTTGCTCCTTCAACATGCAGTGCGTGCAGCGGATAAAGTGTCGGCAATACAGGATTTAACATGACTTGATCTTAACCATGGATAATCAAATTCGCTGTTAGTAGTACTTAGGTACCACGTACAATTAATTTTGTTGCAAAACCTAAATTTAAAAAAATACTATAATTAACGGTCTATAATTAAATGATCGCATAATAAAACAATTGCAGCATATATTAAATAACTGCTTTAAATACAGTCGTATAATTACAAAATCTTAATAGACTGCAAATGCACGTAAATTTTTTTACTCTACACCGGTGGTATAAGACGGATGGAAGATATACGGGTTATGTGCGTCACCACTGCACCTCCGTCTTGTTTCTAGTCGTCTAGGGGCACCATTTAAGCAGGAGAAAAGTTCAATGTCTATCGCTGGCATCCAAAGAAAAAATAGTTTCTACCATCTGCTTAGCATGTTTATGCTTATGAATCGTCGAGTAACGAAGTGGCATCGCTGTTTGTGATACTGAACAATGGACATTTCTGAAATGTACCATTAAGCATTTCAAACGTACTCACCGTTGATTATTAGGGTCGAAGAATTTCAGACGGACCACGTGATCATCGACGATCATCACGTCCAGCTGAATGGGCGAGATGAGAGTCGCGAAGGGTAGGTTCACCTGATCGGGAGCCGCTCGTAGCCGCAACTGCGAATCCGAGATCTTTTTGTCCAGAACGTAGCCTCCGGCGTTGTCTGGGTAGATGCATTTTGGAGCTCGACTGTTCATCGCGTTATCCACCCATGAACAGTTTCTGGCCAGGCAGTTCTTTTCGTTAACGAGCACATCGTCCGGCATGCAGTTGGTCAACGTGGACGAATGCCAATCAGGGGAAGGCTCCGACTTTTTGCCATAAACCACGGCCAGCACCACAATGATAATGACCACCACCGAAGTCACCACTCCACAGATAATGAACTTCCTACCCATATCCGTTCGTCTATACGGCAAACT